ACCCTGCTCATATAGTTAGTCGTTTCTACACAAAGTAGGGTAACGTTAAATGGTTCTGTTAATATTCCTTCCTGCGTGTTAAATAAACTGTTGTATTCTAGTTAAAGTTCTTGGGAAGTAGACTTTCCAAATTTACATTGACAGAGTCATCGTTGTTTGGAACCCTAGCAATGAACCACTGTAATTCAAAAGGAACTTAGATAAACTAAATATTACATCCTCTGAAAATGAATGTTTGCATGGAATTTTTCATTTGAACTAGTTCTAAAGTAGTTCATAAATGCGCCGTCACTTGATCGCCGTCCAAGAGAAGCGGTATTTTTTTTTTACTCCCCTGAAGCAGTGTGATAACTATCAACGACGAAATGATACTACAAAGTCTTGTTACTTAATTCTGTTGAGTTCAAGTTGCTGCTGGGGTCTTTTTGCAGTGTTTTGTGAATATTCACATTGCTGGGAAGTACATGTTTGCTGGTAGTTACTATGTATCCTTTAATTTTTTTCAAAAATATTGATCCTTAACCGCCTCACTTTTTTTCTTAGTTTCTCAATATTCTAAGCAACATAGCATCCTAGAGTTTTATCAATTGTGAGAATTTATTCTCATGTAATCAAGGTGAAGTTTGTGTTTAGGAAACTTTTGGCGCCATACGCACAGTGAGATCATTTGCGCAGGAAGATTACGAGATTTCACGCTATTCGGAGAAAGTTGATGAGACCTTAAATCTTGGGCTTGGACAAGCTGTGAGTTGCTTAATTCTTCTACCTCTGACAAGAAAAGAAGGGAGAGAGTGTGTGTGTGAGAGAGAGATGGCAAGTGGATGAGAAGGAAAACCTGATATCTTGTGTTTTCTTCTGCAGAAAGTGGTTGGCCTTTTCTCTGGAAGCTTAAATGCTGCATCTACTCTATCAGTTATTGTAGTAGTAATATATGGAGCCACTCTGACTATCCAAGGCGCTATGACACCTGGAGCTCTTACATCCTTTATACTCTACAGCTTAACAGGTGACTTCCTCACTAGTTTTGTCTTTTAATGAATGTCCGAAGTGAAATCTACCTTTGATGCCCCATAACTTATGTAATATTTTAGCATTTATTAATTTCTTTCTTAGATCCTTTGTTGATGTAAACAATTGTACATTCTTACAGTTGGATCATCCGTATCTGGACTTTCTGGATTATATACTGTAGCAATGAAAGCTGCTGGAGCCAGCAGACGGGTTTTTCAGATCTTGGATCGCACATCATCCATGCCAAAATCAGGAGACCTATGTCCATTGGGGTTTGTTCCTTTATTCTCCTAATCAAATAGTTTGTTGTTCATTACAGCTTCGTAAGGAATTGTAGCATACACAATAATTAGTTTCATAGGAAGACAATTTATGAACAGATGCTTGTAACTCATCTGGTAATATGCAACTGGTGTTCAATGTGAAAATGCCTTTTAACTTTTCAGGATTAAAAGTTCTGTCTATAATGAAATATCCAGCTGTCTTAGAAATAAAAGCATGCATTTTGATGGTGTTTTCATTTGTTCATTCTAGCATTGTAAATGAAAAGTAATTTCTTTTGATGTTTGCCAAAAGCTGGCCTGTCCTGCTGCATCACGTTGTTCTCGTATCCTCAATTCTGACATGCATCCATGCACTTCCTCGTTACAATATATTTTGTTCCATCATATCAGAACTTTCAGCATGAAGTACTTCACCTCTCCGATTCTCATGATCAGAGTCAAAATTGTGACTATCATATTCAGATTGTGCTTCTATAGCCAGTCACGTCCCACAAGATTAAATGAAATGATGGTTGCTTTTGTTACAGTGATCAAGCTGCAGAGGTTGAACTGGATGATGTCTGGTTTGCCTATCCATCACGTCCTAGCCACATGGTCCTCAAGGTGAGGAACATATCCTCTTATCTTGTACCTCCATGAACAAAAATGGTTGTTGACAGAAAAGGGAAAACCTTCTGTTGATTCAGGGTATTACAATGAAACTACAATCTGGTTCAAAGGTTGCACTGGTTGGTCCAAGTGGTGGTGGAAAGGTAAGACCCCGTGTCATTAAAGTTTCAATAGTTTGTCAAAAAGAGGCTAGAACTCATGAATTCTTTGCTGCAGACTACAATAGCAAATTTGATAGAGAGATTCTATGATCCTGTTAAAGGGAAGATCTTGCTCAATGGGGTTTCTCTGGTTGAAATATCTCATAAGCACCTACACCATAAGGTAATACTGGAACTAATATAAAGTTCTTGAAGCTAATATTCACCATACCATTCCTCAGCATGTCCATACCCTAAGGCTCCCTTCCCCCCCTCTCAAAGATAGAAATGACTGTGTTTCAGCTTTCACAAGTTATAGATTCCTAAGGTACTTATTTCTTCTGAAAATCAGGTTAGTATAGTGAGCCAGGAACCTGTTCTTTTCAACTGTTCCATTGAAGAAAATATTGCCTATGGATTGGGCGGCAAAGCAAGCAGTGAAGATATAGAAAAAGCAGCTGTAAGTTTCAATGCCATTAATGTCTTGATTATAATCTTCTGCAAATATTATAACTGTTATCACATTTCTGTTTGAACAGAAAATGGCTAATGCTCATGAATTTGTATCCAAATTTCCCGAAAAATATCAAACCCATGTCGGAGAACGAGGATTGAGACTTTCTGGTGGTCAGAAACAGAGAATTGCCATAGCTAGAGCACTGCTGATGAACCCTACAATTTTATTGTTGGATGAGGCCACGAGTGCTCTGGATGCTGAAAGTGAATATCTTGTTCAGGTCTGGTCTGCTTTTAATTTGATACCTGCCTGCCTTACATCTCCTTTGATCGTTCAACTAAATTGAAATGGGATCTCTTGTATAAATGTGTGTATATGCTATGCAGGATGCCATGGATTCCCTGATGAAAGGTAGAACCGTTCTTGTCATAGCTCACAGGCTTTCAACAGTCAAGAGCGCGAATACTGTAGCTGTTGTTTCGGATGGTCAAATAGTGGAAAGTGGCACACATGATGACCTTCTGAACAAGAATGGGATCTACACAGCACTGGTGAGGAGGCAGTTGCAGGGATACAAATCTGATAGCTAGTTTTTATCTTTGTTAAAAAAAAACATCTGATAAACTATGTTAGCAAACCACAAATGTTCAATGTACTTGTATTATTCACATATAGAAAGTGTAAGGAGCAGCCATCATCATTATTCCATAAATGACAGATTTGTGACAATAGTTCAATATCGTATCATGCATGTGCCACTTAAACATAGTGATTATAGACTAAATATTTATTTTGTAAAAAGTAATTTAACCTAAACTTGACTTCAACTTGTTTAATCAAATTTTGAACTAAACACAGTATTGATTAATTAGTCTACGTCATGACGTTTAAGTTTAGAGATAATATGCATTGTGCAATAAATAATTTGTTCTAAACTTGATTTAAAGGTTCTTTATGACAATTGCCGTAGGTTTAACTCAACTAGTATGCCATCATTGTTTAATCGTATCTTAAACTAAATGAGATATTGATTAGCTTATGTCACGACATTTAAATGTGGAGATCATAAATTAAGTATTTATTGCACGAGAAGTAATTTATTTTACATTTAACTTTAAAAGTTCGATATGACTTTTAAACTAAATAAAATATGTATTAACTTACTTCACGACATTAATGTAGAGATTATAAACAAACTATTTATTGTGTGAGAAGTAATTTGTCGTAATTTGACTTTAATAGTTTGTTATGGTAATTTCTACCATATTTTAAACTAAATAAAATGTTGCTTAGCTTACGCCAAGACACTTAAATTAGTGTAGATATTATGAATAAATTATTTTGTTGTGTGAGATTTATTTTAAATTTGATTTTAAAAGTTCATTATGATCATTGCTTAACCATATTTTGAACTAAATAGAATATTGATTAGTTTACACCACGACAATAATATAGAGATTATTAATAAATTATTTACCATGTGAGAAGTAATTTATCTTAAACTTGACTTTAAGAAATCGTTACGTTCATTGCTTAATCATATTTTAAACTAAACAAAATATTAATTAATGTACGTCCCAATATTTAAATATAGTGATTATAAACAAACTATTTATCATGTGAGAAAGAATAGATCCTAAAATAAAAGAGCTTGCTAGTAGGTAATGAAGCAGGTGAGAACCATGAAGTCTTACGTTCAAATGCCGGTAGATAGTCTAGTATCTGTTGCTGGTGGGAGATGGCAATTATCTCGTCAATCAAATTTTCAATCTTATCTCGTTCTATCACATAGTTTCCATTCACCTGGAATTGCTTGACAAATTCTTTATGTTGCTTTTACAGAACTTTCCTTCTTTTATTAACAAATTGTCACCCATTAATACAACACCAATATTATTTCATTCCAAATTCAGAGCAATGCCTATTATATCCTCTTTAAATTCTACTTATTCACCCGCCATTACTTCATCAAGATTGTGAATACAAGCAATGTCGTCACCTACTTGAAATACGGTACCAATATTTACAATCTTTAATTCTTTATTATATTGTTCAATATGTACACAGATAATGTTACTAATGTCGTCAATCTGAATAGTTATCATGGTATCTTCTTTATTTTTTCACAAAAAAAAATATTACTTCCAATAGAATGACTAATAAGTTATTTCTGTCGTTGTTCCTCGCATGCTAATATTAACACTAGTGGTACGTAAATGTAACTCGTTCTTTAAATAACTATTCAAAATTTCTAGAGCTCCTCATAAAACTTGTTGGCAATCTATTGCTGGTGAAAAATGACAGTTTTCAAGTCGCAAGCTGACCCTAACAGCCTAACCCCACCGTTATTATAAATAAAAACAACTAATAAACTAAAAAAAGGAAATACACAATATGGCTCTCATAGATAACTTTATCTTTATTAAACAATAGTCCCTAAAGTTTGTGAAATAAGTACAATTTCTACTCCTTGTACAGTGTCCGGGGACTATGACACTTGTTGACGACCGTTTCTATTTTGCCTATGGCTGCATGTAATACAAATTACATTAAATCTCAGACATGGGGCGATGAAACCAATTAACCTTAGTAAAAAATTAGCGTTACAAATACCCTCTTTTCATCTACTTTGCTGCACATTTTTATTTTCTTGAATTTTCGGTTTTGATTTGATTAGTGTGTTTCAGTGAACTTGTTAATCATGAGATGGGAAAGGGTGGCTGTACATGGAAGTGGTGGGCCTGGTAAAAAGTGGGGACATACCTGTAGCGCTGTCCTAGGTGGTAGACTTCTCTATGTCTTTGGTGGTTTTGGTGACGACAACAGGCATACCAACAAAGTTCATGTCTTTGACACTGGTGCGTTGTTTTTCTTGCGTTTTTTGTATTCTTGTTCCTTTTCTTGTTTCTGGGGTTTTCTTGAAATTCTTGTGTCAATTCTGTTTTCTTGGGGGCATTTATCAGTTTTCTTCTTTAGGGTTTTCTTGTATGATTTTTTGTTTTCAAGATTTTGGGGTTTATGTTCTTGATGGTTTACAATTTCAGTGGTAGTTCTTGAAAGGGTTTCAAGAATTTCACATTCCCATTGCTTTCAATGATCAATGTGTGTTTTGAGTTCGTTTCGTTCTTGTTACTGATCTTCGTTTTGAAGATTTTGGGGTTTATGTTCTTGATGGTTTACAATTTCAGTGGTAGTTCTTGAAAGGGTTTCAAGAATTTCACATTCCCATTGCTTTCAATGATCAATGTGTGTTTTGAGTTCGTTTCGTTCTTGTTACTGATCTTCGTTTTGAAGATTTTGGGGTTTATGTTCTTGATGGTTTGCAATTTCAGTGGTAGTTCTTGAAAGGATTTCAAGAATTTCACATTCCCATTGCTGTTAATGATCAATGTGTGTTTCGAGTTCGTTTAGTTCTTGCTACTGATCTTACTCATACTAACTTGAGGATACATATACAAGTTTTGTTGCATCTGTGATAGGAGAGAGGTTTTATAATCTTTACTTACATTGTTCCGTTATTTTCAGTTAATAGAATTTGGAGTGAGCCAGTGACGAAGGGAGCTTTGCCTTCACCAAGGGACAGCCACAGTTGTACAGCAGTTGGAGATAATTTGTTTGTGTTTGGGGGCACAAATGGGACAAATTCTCTTAACGATCTGTATATTTTGGACACCTGTTAGTGCTTTTGATCTTAAGGATCATTTCTTCTATTGCTTAATCTTTTAATAGTTGCATCTGTTGTCTGTGTAAGCTAAATTAAAATTTTCAAATATTTTGATGTGATCTGTAGTCTTATGGTACGAGGACAAACCCTTAAGAAATTACTTTTTGTGCTGCTTTGGCTGCATTCCTCTTTGTTGTTGTGTAGTACAAATGTGGACAAAAACAACTTTGTAAAAAAAAAAGCCCATGAGATGCAGTGGCTACTAGGAAGTTACGTTGCATTATGTTCTAAGGGACCATCAATACTCCGGGTTTAGATTCGAGATAATTCTTTATTCCATAGATCAGGGGCTATTTATAAGATTTAGGGTGGTCTTTCATATCAGAAACAATAAAAAAGTTTCAAGATAACATGTTATTTATAAATGTGTAATGTTTTTCAGAGAGATGATACCATGAAATGAAAAATGTTCTGTTCTTTCTCTTTGTTTGCATGTTGAAAGTATGCAGATATAAGGAATTCTATCAGTTGTTCCCAATGATTTACTCACTACCTAACAATTCGATGAATCTACATTCTTTTAGCTTCGAATACATGGATAGCACCCAGTCTAAGAGGTGATCCCCCTAATCCAAGGGAAGGCCACAGTGCAGCACTTATTGGTAAACGGCTTTTCATATTTGGCGGATGTGGCAACATTGATGGCGCTGAAATATTCTATGATGACGTTTACGTACTGAATACAGGTTTGTCTCTGCGTGTGTGTGTTATTAAGGTGGGTAATGGTAGACTGCACTTGGCTAGTATGGTATGTGCAAGTATGGAGAACTTTTTTCATTATGACTTGCGCATAACAATGTGATGGTGTGAGAAACTTTTAAAACATAACTACTGAAAGAAATATGAGGGCATTGGGGATGGTAGGAATACAAATTCTAACTTGTGATATATATGGAAGAGGAAGTGCAGAAGTACATCATACATGAGTTCTCTAAGGAATTGACCACTAGCCTAACTACTTGTAAAAGAAACTTCCGTCGCTTAATAGTTCTTATTCTGAGGGGAAATCGGTGGTTGAGAAGATGATCTCTTCTAAGGTGAACTCAACTTATTCTTATCCTATTGTGTTTATATACATTTTCTATTCTACAGCTACATAAAATACTAATTCGTAAACCCGTTGGGGTGACTCAAATGGTTTGGCCTGGGACTTCCATAATGGACGTCTCTAGTTCAAAACCCTTGTCTACAACAAAGGTGGGGGGGGGGGGGGGGCTTTTATGGGTCAAGCTCATCGCACGGGGCTTGCCTTACCTCTCCTGTGTGGTATGTGAGTTATTGCACAGAGCTAGCTGAGCTTACCCCGTGTGCACCCAAAGGGTAGCGGCCGTGGATTCCATTGTCAACAAAGAAACAACAACAAAAAACTAAAGTCTTGCACAATAGTTAGAAATCCAATTTAAAGGTCTCATACAGCTCTCAGTTTTCTTTTTTATAAAGTTTATACGGTTTTGAGCATATCATATAGTATACTTTATAAAAATGGGTATATCTAATCTATATATTATCTCTCTCTCTCACTCTATATGTATACATGTGTGTGTGTGAGAGAGAGAGAGAGGAAGGGGGGAAAGAAGCAAGTGATCCTTGATGGTGGCTATTTCATAAACAAGTTCTTTTAATACTTTGTCATTTTTCAGAGACATTTATGTGGAAACGCATTGTGCCATCAGGCATTCCGCCAAGTAAACGCGAGAGCCATTCCTGTTCATCTTGGAACAATAAGATCATTATCATAGGTGGTCAAGACACATCTAGCTTTTATCAGTCAGATGTTCATATACTTGACACAGGTATTTAAGAAACTCGCTCTTGAAGTTACATATTGAAAAAGTTAAAGTTGTATCATAGTTATTTTTCTAGTACTAGGTCTACATTTTATGACTATTTTGGCATCCTATCTCTATAGATACCCTTACTTGGTGCAAGTTGAACACTACGGGCCAGATTTTGCCACCGCGAGCTGGGCATACAACCATTTCATTGGGCAGGAACCTGTTTGTCTTTGGGGGTTTCGCTGATAACCAGAGCCTATTTGACGACGTTTACGTGCTTGATGTTGGTATGCTATTTGTTAGATCATATAACTTAACTCTTTTCCTATCAAAGAAAAATCAAACAGATGAAACTATTATACTGTGATAACTTCAGATAGAGCATTTGAGTAAATGCAATTACTTTTTCCTAAACCAAATATCCGGGTAAATGTTGGTCTAAATTTCTCTGTTGTGTCTGTCCTTGTCTGGAGAGGTCTCTTTATGTACGGGGTAACATAACATGTCTCTAAAATTTCAGTGCAAATTGCTCAACAATTTGGAGAAGTAGATCTAGTCTAGCAAACGACTAGAGAAATTAATAATTGATTAATTTCTCTATCTTTAATACATTCAACTGTATGAATTTTGGTTTAGCTCATCAAATTTGTATGGTCCCTCAACATCAAGGGATACCTGTTAATAAACAAAATTATTATTCTATGATCATAGTGTTTCTACATTGTTTTGAAACATTTAGCAACTGATGATTGGTGGATCTTAGTTGGCATTCATCATCGAGAATCACAAAAGCTATGTAAGATGTATTCAGGAAATAGATGCTTCTGTTAACCTCTAAACTGAGAGTTTCTACGACTGTGTTGTTTGTTGTGATTGTTGTGTATTAAAGAGATACATGATATTCAATTGACTGTATGCTGTATCTTCTGAATGTCCATGCAGCTTCTGGTACATGGAGTGAGGTCATGCTCACTGGTGAGGGCCCATCCCCCAGATTCTCAGTAGCTGGGGATTGTTTAGATCCACACCTGGGAGGTACTCTTGTATTGATAGGTGGTTGTAATAACACACTTCAACCCTTGGAGGACATGTATTATCTACAAACAGGTCTATCATCGAGTCCTCCAACAAACCCACATTAGTTTTCGTTCTACTTATTTCTGTTACACCATTTATTTAGAACTTTCTTGATATCCCTTTGATAAATATCCGAATCTTGTTTTCTGTTCGTATCACTAGGCATTGTTAGAGAGGATGAACGAGACGAAAGAAGGATAGCGAAATTGTCCTTGAGGAAGCAGCTGAAGTTAAAATGCCAGAAGCAACAAGCTTCAGCTTCTCCCTGCGATAATGCTCTTGAACGATTTGATAATAACGCTAATGTTCATCACCAAATGCCTGTGAACTATACACAGCCAAGTGAGTAACTTTTTCATATGTTGTTGATTTTAGTTTGAAATTTCCCTCCTTGTACTTCCTGAGAATTGTCTTACTGAAGCCGCTCCTTGTTTATGCATCTATGAGTTGCTTTTATCTTTTTCAATATGATTTCTTTAATTATTTGTGGCCAGCCATTCCTTAATCATTTTATTTTGACAAAATGTTTGGTAAGAGGAGACCTTAAAGACTGGAATAACTTGAGAGAGGAATGATCAGATGATAATTCATAAAGCAAGCCTCCATGTGGATACATGCATACACTAGGTAGAGAGGGGTAAGGCTGCATAGACACCACCTTTCACCACCTTTCCCAGATCTCTCTTGTGGGATTACACTGGATATATTGTTGTATATATATACAATACGTCAACACAAAAATATTTCTTGTTGTTTCTTTGCTCTAAGTTATGGGCAAAGTTTAATATGGTTGAGAGAGTAGATACTGAACATGTTCACTTTTCTCTGAGTCTTTTTTTTTCCAGGAAAAATAAAGTGTCCTAGCATGTCATATGTTGTCTGATAAATAGTATTTTTTTGTGTACTTTGTACAAGTGATAGTGTGTAGTGCATCTAATGCTTGAAGCAGGGAAACATTGGTGTCACAGGTGTTTTGAACTGACTTCTGAAGGTGCATTGGTATTGTGGCAGGTCGGCATAACGTTTATTCAAACGAATACCAGACTCCTCTGGGGACGAAGACATTTCAAGCCAAGGTCACAAAGAGTTTTCCAAATGGCTATACCGTTGAAACTGTTATTGATGGAAAACGCCTTCGTGGATTACTATTTTCCACCAAACCAAGACCTGAACAGACTCCCTGTAATGATTCTATCAGGTGCATGATGATCTGATTTTCTAATTTTGATATAGATAAGTGTAGCAGAATTTCAGTATTCATCAAAATTTTGGTTCACTTATTGCCTTTTGGATGATGTTAACGTAAATTCAAAATTAGGAATACGGGAAATGGTGAAACTGATAGAGAAAAGCATAATGGCGACCATAATTCTGTTAGAGAAGCAACTAGACCTTCAGAAACCAATGTGAGCGACTTCCAGCAAGCAGATGTCTTAGGTGGGAATTCTATCAGTAATGAGCCTCCAGTTGGAGGTGCTACAGCTCAAATGAAGAGTCCATTCCCCTCTTATGCTTCACCAGCCCATGAGGTTATACCTTCTTTCTGTGGAATAAATTGTTTAATTGTGCTATACCCATCTTAAAGAAGAATTTGTACTAGTTCCAGCTTGGTTGCACAAGAATACGGAATCTCCTTTCTCATTGGTTTGTACAGATCATTATTCTTATTGCACCTTGCAGCATTTCCTATATCATGGAATTAGTTTTAACATTTGATGTGCAACCATGGGTGATTTCAGCTTATAAACAACAATTTTAGGGCTTGCCATTTCCATTCAAAAAATTCAATCTTCATCCTCTTGAAATTACATGAGGAATTTGTGATGACCATTAGACTGTATTGCAATAATTCTATATACAAAGCATATAAGTTAGCAACATATCTGGATTATTTCAAGTTTGGTTAATGATATAGGCTTTTATGACCAAGCTCTGATGTATTCTCTTCTTGGCAATTTGAGACATCAATCCACATGCAGCAGTCCTCTTCAATTGCATACTTAAGTTTGCTTCTAGCCTACAATAACTACACCTCAATCCCAAACAAGTTGAACTCGGCTATGTGAATCCTCACATGTCCATTCAAGCTCAACTCATGTCATCATCATACCAAATAAAAATAGAAGTGAAAAATAAGTTCGATTCAAACAAATAATAGCAACAGTGATAATATTAAAAGTTCTCTAGCAAGACTAAACCTATATCAACTAGTAGACAATCACCTATATGGATTTTTTCTTTGCCCTATCATTATCTATATCTTTATTGATTCCAAGAATTTGTAGGTCTTTCGAGACAGCCTCCTTCAATGTGATTTTAGGTCTGCACTGTCCCTTTTTAACACCTTCATACGCCATAGTTTCACACTACCGGCCTGTGCATCTGTAGGTCGATGCATACCTACAAGATATGACCAAACCATCTCAAGTGACACTCTCTCATTTTATCCTCAATGTGCTACTTGCATCCTTTGGCATAGTCATTTTTAATCTTATTTTATCTTGTATGACCAGTTGACTGTACATCCATCTTAGCATCACATTACTGCAACACTCATCTTATGGATATGTTGAACTATAGCGGGCCCAATATTCACTACCATATGACGTTGTTGGTCTTATAGCCATTTTGTAAAACTTACGTTACACTTAGGTAGGCATCCTTTTATCACATAACACTCCGATAGCACTCCATTTCAACCATCCGATTTTAATTCTATTAGGATCAACTTTATCTATCATTCCGTTCTCTTGAAACTACGAAACCTAGATATCTGAATTGTTTGCATTTTGGCCTCACAATCCATCTAGTCTCACCTTATCTTCACTCTTCTCATGCTAACTAAACTTGATGTGCATGTATAGTTATCTTAATACTCTTACTCTCTAAAGTGCTTCTCCATAGTTCAATTTTTTAATCGACACCCTTGCTGATTTTATTAATTGACTTACTATTCCATGGTACGAGGAGTTAGATAAGAAATATAGGATTTTTTTCTCGATATCAATCCTTCGATAAAACACTCAAACCGAGTAAGGAAGGAGGCCTTTGAGTTGATATTCAAAAGGAGTTTGTCCTGGTGTGCTGCTTCTTTCTTGCCACAACTTATTGAGTCAAAAACTTCTCTATTCTATTTGTTTAGTTCATTTTCAACTTTCTCTAGTGGCATTATACATTCATTTATATTTCTTCAAATCCAGAGTGACATGTGTCAAAAAGCGACATCAACAAATAACATGCACCACTGTTCAAGCTTTTGGTTCTCTCTCTTCAAAGAAGTCATTTTCCACTCTCTCTCTCTCTCTCTCTCTGCAGTAATGTGAAACAAAAAAGGAAGCATTTCTTTGAAGTTATGAATTTTAAAGTTCTGATTTTTTTTCTAACCTCCACGTCTCTTTTCCTTTTTATAACTGGCCTTTATGAGTACCTGATCTACACACAGGGGTTGGTTTCTGAGTGAATCGACCAAAGAATTATAATTACCATTAGAGCTACATATTTCCCTTTGCTGCTGGTTTCTTGTCTTGCGTGATTTATCAGATGTGTCTCTTTTTTTAGCAAAATGGATTATTTCTGAACTTTTACTTTGACATGATCTCTGATTAAGTGCCTCTATAGCAGGTTCGTGACGTGTCCGATGTTGTGAATTTGGAAAGTGGTATGCTTACTGATGCAGTAGATGGTGGTACTAAGGTCTCTAAGGAGAATTCTTCTGCAACCAATGACTCTTGAATCCTTTATATAAGGTACATGTTGTATTCCCATGCTTGTCTTGTAAGATTTGATTTCTCGATAAAAAAGGAAGTGATACAATTGTTTGAAGTCAGAAAAATACCATTCTAATCCTGCGCTGTTAATTTTCAGACTTCATATGTAGTAAAAGACAAAATGTTACTGATTTTACTTCCATCTTGTTTTGACCAATAGTGTTTTGTATATGAAATTATTCTTTCAATCACTCAGTTTACTGAAGGAACTGTTGATGGTTAGTTTGAAATATTTCCTTGTTATAGAATCCGGAGCAATGTTCTCTTTTATTTGAACTTGCCTTTTTCATTAAGACGGCTTCACTCATTTTCTTCAAGTGTTTATGGCCTCTGTTTTTATGCATTATCATTAAGGAGGTGTAAAATTTCATCCATGTGGGTAGATGCATTGCACTAGTTCATGTGATCAATGTGATTCCTTTTTGTTGGGCTCTGTAGGAAAATAATTTACAGATGTAACTTGCTGTGAAGTACCCCCTTAGCCTATTAAGCCTATCAGTTAATGGTGATTCCAGACAGTTTTCATGTTGTTTGTCAATATTAGGAGGATACACGTTTAGATATAATATTCATGTTGGCTAACCAATTTTCTCTAATAAAAAACAACAAGAGAGAAATTCAAAGTTGGTGTTCGGAGGGAGATAAGTGAAATTTGAGAATAAAATTTCAAAATTAAGTGCTAGGAAGTAGGAACCCTAATTGATTTTAGTATTAAAAAATTAACGAATGAAAGCTAATTATGATACTAATAGAGTCAATTCAAGAACTTAGATGACAGTGATCTAGACCTCTATTTCTCTATTTCGAAGTAATTAGAGACAATAGGTAGTGTGAGAAATATAGGAGAAAATTTTATTGAATTATTTATCTACATAACTACATTAAGCCCTATTATATACACTACACGACAATTCTTCTCCTAGTAGAATATTATATACAAATCATATTCCTACTCCTATTCTAGGATTCCCCCTCAAGCTAGTGCATATAAGTCATATGTATCGAGCTTGCTACAAATGTAATTAATATGAGGCTCAGTGAGGGACCTGCTGAAAATATCTGCAAGCTGCTCTGATACTATGTAGATATGACCATTGGCCTTACTCAACCCCAAAAGCTATCTCATGAGGTGAGGATTGTCCAAGTCTGGATAAACAAACCACCATTCCATTTCCCAGCCAGTCCATATAAACAAACCACCATTCCATTTCCCAGCCAATGTGATACTCTAACCCACTCTAACAATTAGTATAAGACTAACTGTTTTATTTATTTATTTATGAATAAGAACCAAATATATCTTGTTAAAGTATCAATCTTACCTTTGAAGAATTGTTCTAAATCTTAAGTAGCCAACATGCAAAGGTTAAAGAAGAGAAACTCTTGAATAATATTAATAATAATGTTGTTAAAAAGAACAAAATTCACCCCTATGTATAAGGGAAACCTATCCCAAATAGCATGGGGTTTGAATCCCACTTTTATGGAAATAACGGATTGTAAAAACCTAACAAGGAAACCTTAAACTAGGAAAAAAAGTAAATTGATGTCACACTTGATCTCAAACTACCTAACAGAAAAGGAAAATGTGTCCAATTTTTAACCAAAAAGCACATGCATATTTTGCTGCAACTTGGGCATGAATTGGAGCCCCAAAGCTGTGAGATTCTAACGGAAGCCTCTCTAACTCTATAAGGTAGGGGTGAGATCTGCATACACACTACCCTCTCCAAACCCCACTTGTTGGATTACACTGGGTTCTCAGCCCTTTTGGGCAGAAATTTCAGTCTTCTTTCTTGGGCTCCATCTGGGGCCCTTCTCTTGGTTTTCATGTAGGCCCAATTTTCTTCCTCTTAGATTTGGACTTGCACCATGAAAAACTTGTAGCATTTGGCCTACTCTTTGCCACGATAAGCACCATCTCGATCTCTCTCTAGCTTCCAAAGCTTTATCCAAGCTCTTTAATGTAAATATGTCACCATGGATGCTACCATTGTATCTATATTAGATAGTCTACAGTACATGAGTTCAGCAACCCTTTCCTTTTGTGGCCCCAGTTCATTAGTATGCTTATTGTGGCATGAAGATGAAGTTGACTTTCTTCTGTAAGAGCACAGATTCACAAAGATCTACTACTGTACTCTGAATCCAATTCTTCAGCGTAAAACTTTCTCATGCCATATGTGAACAGTGTTGTCTCTGGTTCAACTTAAATTCAAGCCCATGAACTGATGGTCTTTGTTCCCTTACTCCATCTTCTATGGGTAGTCTAAATTAATCATTGATCAGTAGACAAAGATGTAGGACAATCTGGCGACAGCAGAACTAGATGGTTCTAATTCCATGAAGCACAACTGGAGACGTCATAGCGTTATCTAACTTAGAGACAGTTAAGATAAAATGTGTCATAGACTCATAGCATAGCTGACAACTATTATTATGACAGGATTTGATTGGATTCTCTAGAATCTCAGCTAGCTGCTCCCTCCACAGGGGGATAATATTGGCGGTCTCCTGCCTTTTCCACAGCTTTAATGTGTTCTTAATATAGAACCCACTTTAAATTCTAGTGACGTTTGCATGTTTCTAGCATTTAGATCTTGTCACAAATTACATGACAGTGGAAATTTCTGGTTCTGTCTGAATTAAGCGAATTAGTGTCCCTTATACAGTAGTAGGTTATTACCATTTAAAATTGCTTAAGCATCCCCTTCTTTTCATCTGATGCAAAAGTAGTGTATTCACGTTTTTCTCATTTGAAATCTTCCCTTTCCTGGAATCCGATCTCATGAGACTTTCAATAGTCAACATCACAAAATGTTGTTAGTCTCCAAATCTCAGTAATAATTTCTGTTGACTTGTTAAATTTGTTAATGTGGAAGAATTTCTTATTAATATAACTCATGTCTGAAAGGCTTTTGGTTATTTTTGTTTTTACTTTTTGATAAGTTTTGTATTGTCTACAAAGATTAATGAAAACATTGATGTGTCTCATTGTTTAGAGATTGAGTGAGTGCCTTGCACGTATGCAATAGATCAACTATAGCAATTATTATTTTAGAAAATTTAGTCTAGAAAAAAAAAGATTTAAGAAATGAATAGCTTTTTCAAGTTTAGAAATGTTAGAAGAATAATTCAAAGTCTGAGTATGAATTCAAATTTGTTTAGGATTTGTTATTTATTTAATTCATGTCTAAATAGGATTTGTAGTCTAAATAATATAGGAATAGGTTGTCTAGTCTTAGCTAAATTAGGTTTTGCACATATATAGAGGTGTTGCTAGCTATTTTCTATTGTGAGAAGTAGCAGAGAATGTAGAACAACATTCAGAGATTTATGAGTTTATGACCATTTGTATTGTTACCCATTATGTGTTAATTACCCTAAGTTCCAGTTATGTGTTGTCTCTTGCAATATCTTACCTAGTCTGCTGAGGCAAATATGTCTTAGAAAAGCAGAAAAATGCTGCTATTTTTTTCGCTAAAATAACTAAAACACTTTCTATGGATATTTACATATGATAAGGGACCTTGATTTTCATGGGAGTAAGATTACGTGGTAGAAAGATTACGTGGTTTCTACCGGTCAGCATCTCTATCTCTGTTGATTTCCCTTGGGATAGGAGCTTGGCTATGTGCTTAGCTCTAATCTTTGCTTTGACGTCCTCTTCCTGATGATTTATCATTTATTTAAATTGTTGGCAGCACTACATGTTGTACTTGTACCTATAAGATAAGAACATGAATTGCGACATTGAATTGATTACTGTTCCATTTTTGGTGTGACAGAATCAAACAGCTTGGAAAAAGATTCTCTCGATCCAATTATTTGAGGTAATTTTACTACTATACATTTAATATAGAGATGTATTATATCTAAAGATAGACACAATTGAGTATTGATTGCCAATGTTAGACTTAAAGATGCTTGTTCCCCGACCTCTCACCTTAGAAGTATTAGTTATGCTCGTATAACAGTGACATTTCTCATAAAAAACTTGGTGCAAAGTTTGTTAAGTTCACCATAAATATATAGCAGCAGACTTTCTGCTCCTCAATAATATTGTGCTTATTATGTTAGATTGTTAGTTCATTTTTGCTTTATTCGTTTTCGCAGATAAGAATCAATGCAACACCGATTAGCCTTGTGCAATTTTGTGGAGATGGCGGAGGGAATTGAACCACTTTATCTCTACAGTCTGCTTGAGGATATCACAGTTTCATTTTCCTTAGGTTTGATATTTTTGGGTAAAGATTCCCAATGATTTTATATGCAAAAAAAAAAAAGGAAGAAGGAAGAAAATTCATATAGACTGTGGTGTTGTGGTCACCAGCTTAGCTAATAGTAGAAGCTTTAGTGAATTCAAGGAGATAACTTTACCAATTTCCAGTCAAACTGTTTTTTATTAACTATGAGGTGCTTATCTGCCTCCCTGGCCTGTTTCATTATCATTATTTGCAGCTTCTACTTCTGAAAGTGTAGACACTTTCTGGTTTGGTTTGATTTTGGGTGAACTAAAATGGAATCAAATGATGTAGGGCAGAAGGATTAAGTTGCCCTTTTTTTAAATGACATTGATTTAGAGAAGGCATATGATAAAGTTTTTAGGGAGTTCTGTGGAGATGTTTAGAGTCTAGTTAGGATGTGTAAAATAAATTAAGATTCAAATAAGAACAGTTTGAGGTGACTTAGAACATTTTCTAGTCATGATTAGGGATTATTAGTTTGTTTCTATTTTTCTTTAGTGACATATTCAAGGGGAGATACTGTACGTAGTGTATGTTATTCACAAATGATATAATATTGATCGAAGAGATGTGCGATGGAGTTAATGATTAGTTGTATGTTTGGAAATAGAACCTAGATTTTAAAGGTTTTAGGCTGAGTGAGACTTATTGGGGTATATAACCAAAGAAAACATGAAGAGTGATATCATGTTGCATATTGTATTGGAACAAAATGGAAGCTCGTGTTTGAAGGATCGAGTGATAAAAACGTGTCACCAAGGCTTAAAGATAAGTTTAATAGGTGGTGGTTAGACGTACATTTTTATATGGGTGGATTATTATTGCAAAAAATTATTTTAAAGTTTTTCTTATTTATTCTACCATAGAACATCCTTAGCATAGTATATATATCAATTACTAGTATTTTTCATCTAAAAAATGATATTTGTGTAATTGTAGTTTTAATCTCTATAGTATTTTACTCAATATTTTAAATTTTCAATTAAAATAGACGTATGATTTTCATCCTTAAGAGGTTAATAAAAGTTAAAAATCTTACAAAACTATAAATTTAAAACGGAAAATAAGAGTCGCCTCCACTTCACCGTTGAAGTCACTGTCACGGATGACTTAGGAATTGTCACCACTATTGAAGAATATGTGGTCTTTACAAAAAAGTGTATTAATTCATGAATTTTCGTATGTACATAAATTCATGACTTCTAAGAATATGTGTGATTAATTTTGTTTGAGCAAATTTTGTGGGTTCATTCATTACGATCTAGTAATGATATTTATAGCTTCGATCAAACAAAAAAAGATCACTCTTTTAGGAGTTTATGAGTCACGAAACAGAAATTCATGATTATTTTGATTTTCTTTTGTGAATTAGTCCATGAATTTTCTGGAATATGTGTGATCAAGTGATCCCAAGCTAACCCCGAGACGCGGACATGGACATGGGACCTAGGACCACAAGTGATCCCAAGCTAACCTTGCTGGCATGATCATGAGCATACTAAAGATAATAAACTGATGCGGAAGCTAAATCATAAATAAATCTGAAAAGATGGGGAATACCCATATATTATAACTAAATATATCAAATCTGAGAGTTTAATACAAAAGAAATATCAAACTCAAAATACTAAGTTGAATCTAACTATGTCTGAAATAAGCCTCTAAACTGACTAGAAATGTTGGGACATGCCCCAACTAGGTCTAGCAAAACTGAAACTAAAGACTAAAAGCGATAAAGATAAACATGTCACTAGTCCTCGAAGAATGAGGACTCACCACTGATGCTGCTGAACTGGAGACCGGGAACCGATCTAAGCATGATTTGGATACTGAGAACCTGAACCTACATCACGAGAAGATGTAGCGCACGTATGCGTCAGTACTTGAAAGGTACTGAGCATGCAGGATAGAGTAAAACTGAAATAACATATAACTGAACAAAGCAATAAAGCAATGAAATAATATGAACGTGATATAGATACTGAATGTTGAGCTAACTGAATGCAATGACCAATTATAACATACTGAGACTGAATACTAAATATACTGATAAATGGTCAATGCAATAGAATCTGACTGAACTGTGGGAGCTACTAATAACCGACATAAAACCACATGAGCTAAATGTGGAGTCCAATGTATACGCCCCATCGAGAGGACCCAATATACCCTGCCAGAGGTATAGAGGCATGCTGGCGTGATCACTAAACTGATGTTGCCCACAGATGGGACTTACACCTACGTGGCTCGTAGTTCTGGGACTATATGGGTACGATGAACCCTAGTCCAACTCGGTATTATGCTACTCCCAATGAATTAAGTGGTTAACTGGTTATGACTGAATTTCTGTAAATATTGGATAGCTCGAAACTGAACATGCAAACTGAGAATGCAACAATTAATCTGATAATGATGCATTTATAAACTGAGGCATGTAAAACTGAATACTGAAATATCTGACCTAGCATGTGTAATTCAAGAACTAAAGAAATACATAGCTAGGGTTTTGAAATTCATGCAATAAGCTGAGCAATAACATGATAATCTGATTTGAAACTTTCAAAATAACTAATTCATGAAGATATGTTGAAATTCTAGAACCCTAGGTCTATTCATAGTCATGGAATCAAGAATCTGACTGAATTCTAGGGACTTAATGGGCGAAAGGAACCCACTAGTGAAATCTCACATACCTGGTGACGAATTTCACGAATGGAACTGAAGAAATCTCACTGCTTTCTTGAACTAGGGTTCTTGACCTTTTTCTCCTCTCTTGCTTTTAATTTTCTAAGTTTGATTAATGATTTCGACTAAGGTAAGTTCTAGTTATGTTTCTAGGCTTAAACTGATTAAAACCTCATGATTTAGGGTCTAAACGACGTATCTTAGGGGTTAAATGAAATAGGAAAAGACCAAAAGACCCCTGAATTAACTGCTGTCGGAGTGACTGACGGAATGGACCTACGGTCCGTCGATTGGGTCCGTAGGTCGAGTCTGCCCGACAGGGCTTCACTAAAACGGGCATAACTTTTTACTCGGAGGTCGGAATTTAGTAAAATCGGTGGCATTGGAAAGATAATTCAATTATTTATCTAACCATAGGTCATGGGACACATAATTCATTTTTTGCTAAGAGTTATGACCATCTGAAGTTGACCCATCAATATTTTTCAGCTAACTGGCTGCTGACCCTCATCTACGGTCAGACCTACGGACCGTGGATTGAATGACGGTCCGTGCTGGTCGACCGTAGCTTGTGTCAGAGGCTGGTTAAGGGAAGTCTCGATCCACGGACACAGACCACGGACCGTGGTCTGATCTACGGACCGTGGGTCTGTCCGTGAGTCGGGACTTAGCCAAATTTTTTGACTGAGTTCTGGAGAAGTTTTCTGTCACGAACCACGGACCTGCAGGACGGACCGTGAGTCCATCTACGGTCCGTGGATGGTGTTCGTGAGTGCCACCTGTAACACCAGAAATCTGAAATCTCTATTTTTGGATACAGGGTGTTACATTATGGGTCCATCTATGACGACCTAGTAAGTGATACTAAGAATCAATTACTGAAATGTGTGATCAACTTTGTTTGACATCAAATTTTGTGGGTCCATTCGTGACGACCTAGTATGGAGTACTCATAGTTTTGCAGGGATAGTCATCGCTTTTTTGGAGTTTACACGTCACGTAATAGAAATTCATAATTATCTTGACTTCCGCGTGTATTAGTCATAACACTTTTCAGAATATATGTGACCAACATTGTTTGAGATCAAATTTTGTGGGTCAATTCATGATGACCAAGTAAATGATACTCATAGTTTTCTAGAGGCAAACATTGATTTTTTGCAATTTATGGGTAACGAAACATAAATATAGGATTATCTTGATTTTTCATGTGTTAATGTCCATGAATTTTCTGAAATATGTATGGTAACTCAGTTTAATCTCTTGTTTTCTGGATTTATTCATAATGACCTAATAAATGATACTCATAATTTTTCAAGGACATGTGTTCCTTTTTTCTTAAAGAGTTTGTGTCGCGAAATATAAATTCAAAATTATTTCCGACTTTAGGTGTATAATCTATAAATTTTTCAAAATATATGTGACCAACTCAATTTAATCTCAAACAATTCATATTTTTTTTAACAAGAAAGCCATTTAGTTATTGTTAAAGATGTTTTGGTATGTCACAACTAGGGGTGTTCACGGGTCGGTTTGGATCGATTATTGGTCAAAATCAAAATCAAATCAACTTAATCGATTTTAAAATTATCAAAATCAAACCAAATCAAATATAATATACATTTATCGATTTGGTGGTTATCGGTTTCGGTTTGGTTTGGTTTGATTATTCGGTTATTAACCATACACAAAAATAAAAGAAACAATTCATTCAAAATGTGAAAAAGTGACAACAATCCATTCAAAACAAAAAATAGTTAGAATGACTTAAATTACCGAACTTTCGATCACTGAATAATAAAGCTTTAAAATTCACTATATTGGCCTAGAAGGAAGAGACAATAACATTTCAGTCCCACAAAGAATTGTCATAGACGCTCATATACATGAAATCAATAAGAAAAATGTTTTCACCTTGGACATTCTTATTTTATTTTATTTTGGTTAATAAGATATTTATATATATATTAAGAGGTTATAGGAGAGTTGGAGACAACGACCCTATAAAACATTCTTGCTTTCAATAAGTAAAGTTTAAAGAAATTTTAATGAAACATATATAAGATCTTTAAAATTGTTTATAAAAATAATATATTAATAAAATATATGTTTATAATTCATCGGTTCGATTCAGTTATTTCTTTGATTTTTTCGAATAAAATCATAACCAAACCAAATATTATCGGTTTTCAAAAATCTAAAACCAAACCAAACCCAAATAAAATCGGTTTTATTTTATCGGTTTGGATCGATTTTTATCCAAACCGTGAACACCCCTAATCACAACTCACAACTATAAATTTATTTATTTTCACAAAAACAAACTTATTGTTTGAATTTTTTATATTCCTTGAAAAGGCTAAATTTTAAACACTTTAAGCTCATACGTTTTTTTCTTCGGAGGAAGCTTTATATAACTTAATTATGTAAATTTTTTTAACAAAAATCTCAAATAGTAGTAATTGATTCGGTGATGTTATGCTAGACTATAGTCGAT